AGAAGAGGTATTCACGTCCTGTGAGCAGCATTAGCAATACACTGAAGAAAACCTGCTTCATTGGCGCACTTCATCATTTGTGGAAACAAACATTAGCAGCAGTGTCAGATAAGTGTCTCCGCTGCCTAGTGAAGAAAAATGAAGCTGCCGCACACAGATAGTTCATCTAGTTAATAACAATGAGTCTGAATAATGGGGAAAATTGATAAAAATGGGCTTTGGTCACAAGTAATTAATTAATTTGGTTGAATTTAATGGGAGTTATGCATTAATATTAGTGTAAATGGTAAATGGATTATGTTTATATAACAGTCTTTCTAGTCCTCTGAATACTTAATGTGCAACTTCTGAGTTTAAGGAATGAAACGAAAGCAAAAAGGCTAAAAACTGCAGTTCCCTGAGTGTCCACTAGAGGCTGGCTGCAGAAGCGTAGGAAACCACATACACACTCATTCAAAAAAGACAGTTTTTAGAGCAAAGGTGTCAAAACAAATGGGAGACATAATTGTCCCCATGTCCATTTATTATGCTACCTACAGTCTTGATTAATACGCCTTGCAGGGCAGGATTTGGGGGCGCTGTTGAGCCAGGGATTTGTCAAAACCTACAGATGATCATTTGTCCTGATGTGTACATAAAGTTTGGTAAGTTTGGGGGCATGTTTGGCATAATAAAGAAAAAATTATTAACCTTAAGTTTCTATTAGGTTTTGGTGAACTTGATTTTACACTTTCCCTCATGTCCCATCCGTTTACATGGAGAAAATGGGCTTCATGACCCGTACTGCGACCTGTCAGTAGGGGGAGCTCTCCATGTTCTGGCCTAACTTTGATGTCATCTTTATATGCAGTCAGTGGTAAAACCATAAAATGCTTCAGACAGCTGGTAAGTTATCTGTCTTCTGGATGACAGCTCATATTCACACAGACCATAATTTCAGTTCTGGGAAAGTTGCCATGACAACATCAGCACTTGCTGTGCTTCAGTCTTCAGACCACTGTCAGTCAGAGTAGCTTTCAAAAGGAAGAAAATCCAATGCATCCTTGGCATCTTGTCTGTGGTCTTTGTTTGATATTCATAGAAAAGTGAGATCTGTTGAGTCCAGACTCCGTTTTATTCCCTGTGTTGTCTGTTTTGTCCTGCAGCCCCTCTTGACTTTATTTGGACTCGACAGCCTCAGATGTATTAGTTGTCAGAGCGGTCCGAGCATCAGTCTTTTTATTTTCTGGATGCTTAAACAAGTTATCACTCTGTCTGTCTGTCTGTGAGGCTAAACTGCCCATCATGAGCGCTGAACAATGACGGCGGGGACGGCATCCGGGGAACGACAGGGGACAGAATGGCTGGACGAGAGACGAGGTGGAGTCGAGGTGAAGTCGCCACAAAGTACGATCTATCCGGGGGTGAATGAAGCTGTGCGTGGACGTGTTTACAGTCAGTGTGTTCACATACACAGCTTAATTGGACTAAGCTCATAGTTTGCTTTTTTTACCGAATTGGACTTTTCACGTTTTTGACATGAACGTGACAACTAGGGGGCGATATGGGTCTTTCCAGCAGCACTGTTTCTGACCCCATACAACTGTCAACAACAACAGCAGGTCCGTGTCAGACGTCAGAAGTGTCTACAACTGCAGGAGCATCGTACAGCGTTGTTTTTGTCATACATGATCTACGCGCTACTTTTTCTGTAGATGAGGTGCATGCTACTCCTCTTGTCTGGTGTTTTTATTCCAGGGTTACGGGGCGTGGCGCACACGCACATGCATTGTCCAATCATATCCGACTACACTGGTTACATGGTAGAGAAAATCGAGTCGCATCATCTGGGTGTGTTAATCGGAGGACGCTTGGTTTTATCCTCACAAGACCATGATGAAAAGAAATCTTCTTTCATTTGGATCATCATCTAGGGAACGAGAACGTATCTATCGACTGATGCGTGAATTTATGTACCATATTGATGAAAACTTCAGCTCGATTGCAGATTAAAAAAAAGATAATCAGACAGCATGGTTCATCCTCTGGGGGCAGCGACAGGCTTTTCCAGACGTTATAAACAAACTCATCTGGGTTTAGGAGTCCTGTGCCGCCGCTGCTGCTGCTCAGTGAAATCTAATAGAAGTTAAAGTTAATAGTAGCAGAGGCCGTTTTGGCCCCTCAGATCCCAGTTTCCTCGTTTTAATTCCAAAACCAGCGTTTTCTTTCACAGCGTAAACAGGTAAGTTCGTATTCTTTAATGCGAGAAAACAAGACCTTCCCTGGACGCACTTTCAAACCGCTGTTAACTTTTTCTACGCCTCCTCGGCCCTTCGGCCGCGAAGGATTCTGCCCTCTTAAACAGACAATAAGGGAACAACTGCAGTCAGCAGCGATCCCATTTAGTCGGTTTTAGAAAGGTAATTACCAGCCGAGCCTCGGAGTGCAACATTATCCAAAACATTCACCCTCTCGCTGCAATCCTGAGAGGGAAGCAAATCAGACTCAAAGCACTTCGCCGAGCACTCGGAGGACACACACGCCCAAAACACAGGTCCCCACGTACGGCTGTAATTATTCTCAGACCTCTTTTAAAGAAGCAAAGACGGGGAGGAACAGCTGGGACCGGACTCAGATCACTGATACACTGTCTGTTAGTTAGCAGCTCTCAGCCTCAGTTTACCCAACGGAGAGGTGAGGAAACCGCATGTTAAAACCATCTCTTTATATAATACCCCAAAACTAATTAGTACACATCATAAAATAGTGTGTAAAGGGCGTAAATGTAAGCTCGTATGATACAAATTATTCAACTGCAGCTCCGTGGAGATCCTGTTGTGTGTTTACTTTCTTCTTGCAGACGATCCCAGACAGTCCGGGAAATTAAAAAGTGGTTGTAAATACAGATAAATGGAGGCAATAAATCAAACAAATGACCTCATCTAATTTAAAGATTATTTGATTATTTAGCTGGAGACTAAAGGATCTCTTTATTTCTGCCTAAGCAGCACTGCAAATGGGAATCAGCGTTGTAAAAGAAAGCCTAAACGCAGTCCTCGTCTGAAGAAACAACCACCACCTAGTTCTCGCTGTTTTTTTTCACACACGGTTGTATTTTTCCTGGTCGCACTTTGCATATTTAAAACGCCAAACTCTCTAACCTGGAGTGGCCTAAACTTGGGCACAGACTTTTGTCAAGGCTGCCAAGCATAATGAACAATCAGAGCTTACTCCAAACATAACAAACAAAATAGTTTATATCGATTAAAGCGCCGTCCTCGACAAGCTCGAATGGCTAATTATAACTGAGACTCGCAGGGTTGCTAATTAGATGTCAGAGGTGGCCATCCCAAGGCTACACCACGGGTGAATCATGTGACTTATACAAATTTTCATGGTTACAACTAGGGCCCGACATGGATTATTATGGATTTTTTGGGGTCCATACCGATTATTGGGGGGGGGGGGGGGGGTGAGATTACTGATAATCAGTCGATTTTTAAATTTTTTTATGAAGTTATAAAAAATATACAGTATACTGTAGCTACTGTAGGCTACTGCTCTTTATCCAACAGAAGGACTGACTGATCAAACTCGGACCAGAAAAGCATTTTCAGCTAAACCCTGGCACCCCCACCCTGCGCCGATCGGTGCCTCCTCATTTCCGGTCCGGTCTCACCTGGAGACATGCGGCTGCCTCAGTAAGAGAAGTAGCTGTCAATTCTCTTGGTTCAAGAAGGACCAGATTAAACAGCTTTATTGAAGGTTTTTTTTTTTTTTTATATATGACTGAGTTTAATAACTCACCAGAACAGGTCGAAGGTTTTTTTTTAGGCTACACTTAATTGTCACTTGAAGTAAATTCAGTTTTGTGTCCCTAAACCGTCATATCCCATTTCCTCTATCTGTTTGAGTGAATGCAGTATTTTTTTGAGCCACTAGAGGGTGCCTACTCCGGTCCTACTCCCTTGCCCTTTGAACTCTGCTGATGGCCATTGTGTGTTTTTTTCTAAAACCAAGTGAAGGAAAGTGGACTGTAATGGTTTGAGCATCAACATCCATCAGTTTGGAGCCACTAGAAGAAGAAGTAGATGTGAGTAAATCTCTGAAGAAACACTTCAAACTTTAGCTTTGGTGATAATCAGTAAAGATTTGGTGCCACGTGTTGTTCATTGTGCTTGAATTTGAGCCACGGCACTTAAAGTTTATGACTTATCCCTCATTGAGGACGCAGTGGAAGCTGAAATCACCTCTATTATCGTCATTTTTATCAGCTTTCAGAAACTGTGCCACAGGGACTCCCTCTTCTCGGTAACTTCCTGAACCCACACGGTGGTTTTATTTGCACATCTACCACAACTGCTACTCAAAATGCCTGTTGGGATCCGCTGACCTTCAGCTGCTTCAATACCGTTTTTCAAGCGGCACAGTAAGCGAGGGGAAGTTTGATTACAACCTCAAATGCCCCTGACTTAGAAAAAAGCAAACATTTAAATGAGATTCAGCGGCAAACCCTGTGTTAATGCTGTATTAAGCTCTTGAATTCTACCTTTTAAGGCCACTTTTTTGTAGATGAATGTGTAAACCTAAGTGTGGAGTAAATGAAGATTAAGCCGGCGTTGTAAATCCAGCGGGACGGACTCAACTCTTCTGTCTGCCACTTATACAGATAGCACAGGGATAAAGAGACAAACAGGAAAGTGTTTTGTGCCAAGAGGATAAGAGCCGCTGTCCTATTATGCCCAAATGGGAAAGCTGTTTGGCACTTAAGAGCTCAGCACTGAAATGTTGTGGACTGCAACGATTCTCGGCTGAAAAGTAAAAACCCATATCTACACCCCGAGCTCTGCTGTTTGATAGTTAAGTACACAAATCAAAAGTGCTTTTCGCCGCCGAAACCGGCACTAACAAGAGGAATATCCAAACAATTACAGAAAGTGCTGACACAAGGGAAGGAAGCGCTCGATTTGGAGGGGTTTGCAATGATCATTACTTCAGAGGCCAGGGGTGTGCAGAGACTTTTGGAGTGGGGTGGGGGAGCCCAACAGAGCTACACAGGGGTGGCCCGTAAAAACAATCAATTATTTACCTTTTCTGTCATCACCTTAAAGGGATATTCTAGCGTAAAATTAATTTAGGGTCAAACACACGAATGTTGCCGACCGCTTGCTTCTCTAGTTATACTAACTTAAGTAATGACCGCACTATAGCAATACAGAGAGTTATGTGCTCAACCAAAACGCCACTCTATAGCCACAAATAATGCTCAGAACAGCACCTAGCTTCATCAACAGGACATATAGGGTCCCAGCCATAGTACTAGCCACCAAACATCTTTTTAACTTTGCCTGATTTCTGTAGCAAAGAGACTAAACACAACTCACCTACTCTCTTCCAGCAGCCGCTTGTTTGTGGCGAGACCACAGGCCAGTCCATTACGGACTACAGCGGGTTGACTCAGCTCAAGGAAGAACATTTATAATCATTTCTTTATCATTTCCTTGAAGTAATAATCATCATATTAATCATTTTGCACTGCAAACGTGGTAGTACTTCTGCCTTCCCACTGCGTCCCAATATGACGTCGAAATGACATCTATTTAACGTATTTTTTCGATGATGAGATGCAAATGTGGATGTCATTTCAACGTCTAAAAGAGGTCCAATAATGACGTCTAAATCTTGTATCCATCTTGCACATTGTGCCGACGTCTAGATTTGGTCTTCAGATCACGTCCAAATTCTAAACGTCAGAGCTACATCTAAAAAAGGTCCAATTTGGACGTCGAAATTTCTAACCTATTTTGCACGTCGCACTGACGTCTAGATGTGGTCTTTGACAGACCGACCCAATACTGACTTGATCTGCACGTCTCTCTGACGTCCGATGTTTGGCGGGTTAGTGTCTCGTTCTGATTGCATTTTCATGAAGAAATGATCATAAATGTTCTTCCTTGAGCTGCGAAACCCCACTGTAGTCTGTAATGGACTGGCCTGAGGTCTTGCTACAAGCGGCTGCTGGAAGAGAGTAGGTGGGTTGTGTTTAGTCTCTTTGCTAAAGAAATTTGTCAAAGTTAAAAAGATGTTTGGTGGCTAGTACTATGACTAGGACCCTATATGTACTGTTGAAGTTAGGTGCTGTTCTGAGCATTATTTGTGGTTATAGAGTGGCGTTTTGGTTGAGTGTGTGGCTCTCTGTATTGCTGTCGTGTGGTTGTTACTAAAGTTGGTGTAACTAGAGAGACAAGCGGTCGGCAACATTCATCTCTCGACAGGTTGTCTAACTCAGTGTTACGGTGTATTTGACCCTAACTTAATTTTACGCCGGAATATCCCTTTAAGTCACTTGGAGGGTTCCCAACTGTTAAACTGTGCAAATCCGTCAGGTTAAAGTTAACGAAGCTCAACCTGTTTCCAATTAAAAACATTTATTCATTTCACTCTGAGCTTTAGTTGCGTCTAATCCTGGCGTGACTAAGCCTTCAGCTCTCCGCGTTTTGATTGAACCAGCTGATGTCCCTCTGCCCAGCTGCTCCCCGTCACTCCTGACTTTCTCCGACTTGCATCTTCAGAGGAAAAAGCAATTTTGTGAAGATTCTTTGATCCCTCAAGTGTCAGTTTGTTTGCCAGAGAAATGGTTTCCAAGTCCTCAGCATCCTGCCGTATCCTATCAGCCTCCTGATGAATATCCCTCACAGCATGCCAGCTTTCTGCTCTTGTCCACAACCAGTCTGTGTGCATCAGTCTCCGTCCATTACTCTTCAGCTGCCTTCAGTCTTCATTCAACAAGTCTGTTCGGGTTTCCTATTTGTCTTTCTGTCTGCTTTCTCCATTTACTTTCAATCCCAGTTTGTCCTCTCAGATAAATCTCCCTCGAACTTCTCTCAGCTGCTCTTCTCTCTGTGGGCTTTTTTTAGTTCTGATACAATCTCAAACTTCATTTCATATCAGATATATGAGTTTCAAAGAGATGTCATGTACAGGGGTGTGTCCAAGGGGGGAGCCAGGGTTGGGCGGGGCAGGCTGCGAAGTTACAATCAATTTGGCGTCAGCGAGCAGCAGTTGTGTGGCGTTTATGACTTCAACAGTTGTGTCAAGAAACTGTCGTAAAACACGGCACAACAATGGCCTTGTTAAACTGATTTAATATCCTCCGCTCTGAAACAGAGCAGACGTCACATCAAAGATTGTTTATAAACCTTTAGGAAATGATTGGTGGCATTTTGAGTATTTTTCAGTAGCTTCGTTTCTCCCCCCTGAGTGGATCCACAATCTGCCTTTTGCTGTAAAATGTGTGTTGTTGTTTTTTTTCCCCCCATCTCAAACTCGCTCACTGCAGCTTTAGGCAATTCAATTTCCTTTATGGCCATGTGCTGGAGAGGGTATGATGTGGTAGAGGACTTGTACAGTGGCCTATTAGACCGGTGCTGTTCAGTTTGGTTTGCATTATGAGTTTAATGGAGCCCTGGGTGTGTTATAATGTCTGCTGCAGCTTTATTTTGAAATGACTTCAGGGATAATGGAGAGCAGGAGGACGTGAGTGACATTGACAAAGAAAAAAAAACAGATTTTGAGTCACCTGTTTATTCACCCTAATATGCACCTCAGTAAATCAGGTGTATTGCATAAACCACTGTCTGTGAAGTTGTTTTAGTTTGGCCTGGTTCTGCATTAAATCTGCTTTATGGGGACATATGGTATAGTATTGTAACTACTAAAGTAAAGCGCGATAAATCAAGGACAAAACATATCAGTGTTCTCAGAATGACCTTTGAATATAACGTATCAAATTACCCCTATGGATTCCTTTCCATTGAGTAAACTGTTGCCCTCTGGATGCCCTTCCTGTTGACTTGATGTAAAAATATTGCACTTCAACATCCTTTTCAGTAATTAATTAAAAAGAGAGTGGACAAAGCACTAGAAGTGTCCTCTGGTTGCCCTTCCTGTGGACACAGTCTGAAAACTTTGTCCCTTCTGCCTGCCTTTTGATACAGGTGTTGAAAAGTGTACTCTGGATGCCCTTTTTGTTGACATAAACTGAAAATTTTGCCCCTTTGCATGCCCTTTGTATTAAGTGTTAGAAAAGTGCCATCTGGATGCTCTTACTGTGGATATAGATTAAAAACTTTGCCCCTCTGCATGCCCTTTGATTTAAGTGTTAAAGAAGTGCCGTCTGGATGCCCTTCCTGTGGATGTAATGTAATAACATTGCCCTCTAACGTCTTCTTTAGTCATACATCCAAAAAAGAGTCATCAGGATGCTCTTCCAAATGGGAACCAAATACTAAGAGTGCCCTCTAGATAGCCCACCCATTTAAATAACGTCCAAACTGTGTCCCTCTGGTTGCCCTGTCATAATATAAAACTGTAACAAAATGCCCTGTGACTTTTCTTCCACTTGATAAAACAGGAAAGCTGCCATCAGGATGCCTTTCCGGTGGATAAAAATGAAATTACGGCCTCTGGATTCCCTACTTTGATATAAAATGTTTTTAAAAAATTCCTGTGAATTATTCCAGGTTGATCAAGACATAAAAGTTACCTCTGGATGCTCTTTCAGCGGATTAGCTGTACATAAGTGCCGTCTGGATGCCCTACCATAATATACAGTGTGAATAGAAGGCCCCTGTGAATTTTTATTTATTGTTAAAGCATGTTTAAGTCCTTCCAGTGAATAAAATTTATATTAGTGCCATCAAAATTCCCTACCTGAATGGGGGAACCACAGAATGACACTTTCTCCTTTAACTTGAAGCGAAATTACTCAAGTTTGGCTACCATTCATTTTATTTTTACAAGAGGTCGTCTGGACTCTGAGTTTGGCCGCGTTATATCAGAGTGAGTGACAGGAACTATGGAGGAGAAGCAGTTACAGAGACAGACAGCTGGAAGAGAGCAATTGAGGGAACTCAGAAGAGAAATCCAGGGAGGGTAACGGCAGCGGGGAGGGGGAGGTAAAGAGAGACAGGAGAGGAGTGCAAAGGGGTGATGAAAGAGTGACACAGTAAAGCAGGTGAAGTGGTGGATGGAGGGGGAGGGAGGGCAGACAGCATTAGATTTTAATGAAGCCCTCAGCGCATCACACAATCTGATAAGGTGACACTCCTGAGACAACAAAATGGCGCGAGCGTTGGAGCCAGAGAGGGAGAGTGAGGGTGTGACAGATGTGATGTGCGCCTCGGGCCTCTCGGCGCTCGTACGCTCTGGCTGCCCGACAACCTGAGAGCCTCTGCAGTGCAGGAATCTGAGTCACTCAGATGCAAACCACTGCTGCAGACACAGCCCTCAGGATGTGTGTGTTTCAAGTCTGTGTCCATACTAATAATGTTGAGGAAGCGTATGCAGGAGGAACCAGCATGCAAGCTAGGCTAACGCTCTAGTCTAGGCCAGGTCTGCAATGTAGTTTGGCTAATTTGGAGCTCCTGCGGCTCCCTGGGGTCCTAACGCCCACTTTGGGAACCACTTCTTTAAAAAAAACATCCAGTCGGACTACGCCGAGGTTAAAAAATGAAGTTTGAAAACCAGGATTTCTTCCGTTCTCTGTTTTTATGCAGCTGTCTGTCCGACTCTGTTAACAGTCAGCATGTGGTCGGTCTTTATTGTGTTCCTGTCTGTCAAACTGTCAGGGTCTTGTCATAAATAAATGATAGAGAAACTGCCCGCAGATGTGGGGAGAGTGAGCCGGTACTGTATGAAGCTCGAGTTAACTTGTTTTTCTCTCAAAATGAAGGAAAAAAAGTTTCAAATTTGGGTTCGAACGAGGAGAATTTCCCAAAGTTTGACTCTGAGATTCTTGAGCCAGACATAAACACTCATTAAAAGGCTGTGTCACCCTGGATTTAAGCTAACAAGTGGCGTCAGCTGCAGACTTTTAACATCCTTTTAGCTATTGTCACTTTAAATGACAATGTTGTTTCGCTTTAGCGTGTTAAAGACCAAAATACATTTAAACTGTCACCGCTCTCTTTTGCAAATGAGACAATGTGGGCACAAAGATTTGGACGATTTGACAGCTTAAAAGAACCCGTTCTCATACTCCCCAATGACGGGCTGTCTCTGGATTGTTCTTGGAAAAAAAAAAAGTGTGCTTTAAATTGCGTAGAACAAAGAGGGAAAGAGGGGGGTATGTTGAATCCTGAGTCACCGTGTTTGACAGCAGCATCATTAGAAAAATGGCGAGAGAGAAAGCTTGAGGAAGCACGGCGGTTCGACCATTAAGGGCTCAGAGACATGAGACAAAGAGGCCATTTGGAGGAAGGAGCGAAGACGGGGAAAAAAAAGAAAGAGGACAGGATTTCAAGGTGACGCGAAACGACGACTCTGTCGGTGTTTACCAACATATTCAGGACGTGAGCTCGAACATTCGTGTCAATCTGCCGAGGCAGGAAACGACGGGTCTGCGAGAAAAAAAGGCCACGAGGAAAACAGGAGGAGACGAGGAGGAGGAGGGCGGCGAAAGAAGACGTCAGATCCAGTGGATGGAAGTGGTATTTTACCAGTTTGTGCTGGAGAGAAAGAATCAGGCGGAAGAAATTCTGTACTTCACGAGTTTCAGTAACGTCATCAGGGCTTGACACTTTTTTCACAAGGAGCGCATGTTCTCCTAAGTTGAAAAAGTAAGGCGCACACAAAGAACTTAAGGGGCACAATGAAAATTGATCAAATAATGTTTGTCTTTTTGGTCAATTTAAGTACACTTTGACACTTTCACACCACTCTCGTTTAGTCCAGTTGAACGAACCCTGGAGCGTTTACCCCCCTTGGTGCGGTTCGTTCGGGTCGGTGTGAACGCTGACCTCGAACTCTGGTGCGGACCAAATAAATGAACTCTGGTCCGCCTGAAGAGGTAGAATTTGTGAAAACCGTTTTCCGAGGCACCCGGAAGAAAAGAATCGTTTTGGGAATTGTTAAGAGAAAATGTGAATGATGTCGATGGATTGAACCATTTGGAACCGGTTCTCAAACTTGTGCATGACAAGTTTTTCACTCAGCTGCAATGTCTTTTTCGGACTTTAACGAAAAATACTGCCACAGGGCCAACATCACTCTGACTTCTCGCTACTTCGTTAGTACCTTAGTACACACTATTGTTGGAGTGGAGTCTGGAATGGACTGCTTGTATCGGAATGCTGATATTGGAGATTTTAGATGCAGGTCGATATAATCCGATATTATTTTTTTTTTGCTGATATCGGACCGATATCTGATATCAGTATCATATCTGGACACCCCTATTTAAAAGTGAATATGACAACTCAAAGTATCATCCATCTTTTTGGAAATATGAACGATGAACTTTTCTTATAAATCACATTTTCTGCAGCAGGTAGCCGACAGTATTTCTCTGATACTGAACGAGGACGCTCTCATCTCTTTTGCGCATCATAGAGAAACAACCCTGTTCATTTCAAACCCGTCTTTTAATAAATCAAAAACTCCTCACAGGAGCTTCAAATCCACAAATAAAGTAGAAGATTCAGTCCTCAGAACAGCGGATACAGAACTCATTACAGCCCGCTGTAGAAAATAAGCAAGTTTTCATGCCTTTGGAGAGAGAAACCAGACGGAGTGAAATGATATTTCCCTCTAAAAACCGCACATCTTCCACAGCAGCTGAATGATAATTGAAAAAAATACGGACATCTGGGGCGTAGTCTCGTCTTATCAGCTGTGTGCAGGTCACTCTGTGGTTTGTCGAGGCTTTAACTTTTCCTCCCTCGGCCCTCTGGGAGGAAACTTGAGCAGAGCGGCGTGTAATGAAGGGCGAGATGGTAAATTTGACATTTAGCCTTAATGGCCTCATGCAACAAAAAAAAGAAAGAAAGACACGGGAATTTGGACGTCATTCCTGAGCAGTTATGAATCTGTAGTTTGGATAGAATGTGCGTTTGTACATCTGAAACGGCGAAGATCTGACAGTTTCCCTCAAGCGCCTGACTGACAGGAAGTGCGACAGTCGTTTAAGGCATCAAACATTTGACAACACACACAGATGCGCACACACAAGCTCACACAAGCCGAATGAAAAGGCCATGTCAGCTAACATATGGCGCGTCATCCATCTGCATCGGGTGTGTTCGAGGGCTCGACGCGGGCTTCGCATTCGGAGCGCTGTGTGCCATATGGCGCCGCTAATTACACCTGGAGCCATGAAGGAGACGTGAAGGGACGGAGTGTGAAGGATTGGGGAGGGGGGCGGGGCGGGGCGGCGAGTTTTGGTGAAACGAGGACTTACAGCCTTCAGGAGTTTGGAAGGGAACAGTAGAGGATGAACAAAAGTCAAGGAGAAATACAACTTCTTCAACTTTACGGCTTTTAATTTTACA